TCAAGGTTGCCACGATGCATGAATCCAGCCAATGTGAGTTGTAATCCAACATTTACAGATAAGTATGTTGGGAAAAAAAACCCTAATAAATTTAGACTCATTCAATTAATCATAGTAAAAACAAAATCATGGTCTGTATAGCACAGGGGTCTTCAAACTTGGCCCTTTTATGACTTGTGGACTTCAACTCCCAGAATTCTTCAGCCAGGCACATGTGCCTGGCTCAGGAATTCTGGGAGTTGAAGTCTACAAGTCATAAAAGGGCCAAGTTTGAAGATCCCTGGTATAGCATATGTAAATCTTATTGGCATGAGGGGTACTTTGTGCTCTCTGAGCTTTATTGTTTCCTTGCAGATATCATTACTCAAATTAGGTAACATCATCCGTGCTGGTAGGGAGTGGAGTTTACTCTCAATTTATATTCTAGTCACTACAGCATCACAGTCTGGTTTGGAGGCATCACTGCTTCAGACAGGAAGGCGGTGCAGAGAGTGGTGAGAATGGCCGAAAAAATCATTGGCAGTTCGTTCCCTCCCATCCAGGACATAGCACAGAAGCGCTGCTTGAGCAGGGTCCGTAAGATTGTCTGGGACACTACACATCCTCTTCACGACCTGTTTTCCTTGTTACCTTCTGGGAGGAGGAGGCTTCGTGATATCCTAAGCAGAACATCCAGATTCAGCCATAGTTTCATTCCATACAGCATTAACCTTGAGAACTCTCAAGCTTCCTCCTTCCGTTATATATTCAAGATGGACAATATTTAATATTTGCTATGTATATGTAGGGATGTGAGTCTATACATATGTTGTTCATAGTATGTTTAGGTGTGTGTCATGTATGCGTTTCACTTTGAGTGCGGGCAACTAAATTTCATTTTTGATGTGTGCCATCGTGCCCACAGTATAAAAATGACAATAAAGGTTATCTTATCTTAGTTCTTTGGTTGGGCTATTTATTGTTAGCTTGTTTGGCAGTTCCTTGATTGGGGTATTGTTTACTTCCTGATTGTTGGTCTGATGTCAATGTTGGTGTTAATCTCTGTTCATCTGGGTGTTGATTGCAGGTAGGGACACCTCCCACCAACGATCAACATGCAAATAAGCAGAGATTAACAGCAGAACACCTTTATCTGGGATTCTAGAAACCCAACAAGCAGAGACTCTGCTTTCATTATCATACTTTTTTAAAATGTTTCTTAATTGACTTTCAAGGCCACTATCTTCCCAAGGTGTCTTACAAAACTTCAATATATATATATATTAGTGCAGGGATCTTCAACCCTGGCCCTTTTATGACTTGTGGACTTCAACCCCCAGAATTCCTCAGCCAGCTGTTTTAGTGTAACCAACTCATAACTTGCAATTAACCCATCAAGTACATTCTTAACAGAAAACACACATGAATAGATTCAATGAAAACCTGCTAGAGAAGTAACACAATCATTTTCATCACCAGCTTGGGGAAAATGTAAGTTTTTAAAATCTTTCCAAACCAATGACATGCGGAGACCTTAGGATATTTTGGGAATGTCCTGTTTCACAGAGTATCACCGGGAATACCATCTCTTTTTCTCGTGAACATTTCTACCTAAGAATTGTCAATACTGAAAATTACTATCTTGGTTCTGGATCTGTTTTTAACTCCATTGCAACTTCTCACAGACAGTTAGGTGGCAGCACCCAAGTAGAAACTCCACTATGTGGGATCAGATATTGGATTAGTATTTGAAAGGGAGACCACCAGAAATCCCAAAGCTGCAAACATCCTGGAAGGAGGCAACAATACATTTCTGCACTGTTGACAAAGATACCACACTGATGTTGAATTTGACTCAAAGGAGAACATATCTTTACCTATCTTCCCTTGCAATTAAGCTCTACCCTGGCAGTTATCCTTCCCACTCAGCCTTCGGCTGCTGTTCTGCTTGCACCATTTCCACTCACAAATTCCTCTGACTCAACTGGACCACAAGCTTAGGAACAGCTGCTGCCTTTGGTAGTGAAGATAGAATGCAGGGCCAAAGTCTATCCCTGAATGTTAAACATTTGGGAAAAGAGAACATTTATAAAAAAAAATACTCTCTGATCTCTTCAAAAGCATCTGGCTGAAGCTAAATTAAAGGAAACAAAACTATCTTTTAGCACTATTGTTCTAAGGCTAAGCCAGTGTTTCTCAATGTTGGCAACTTTAAGATACACGGACTTCAGTTCCCAGAATTCTCCAGTGGGCATAGGGAATTGAAGTTCATGCATTTTAAAGTTGCTAAGGTTGATAAACACTGTTCTAAGCAACAGAAGCACAGATGTAGCTTGAGTTCATCCACAATACCTGCCTATCAAAGAAAAGTATTTCATGCTAATTTTCTAGTCATAAACTTTACACCAGCCATCTCCATAGGACAGGTGTCTTCAAACTTGGCCCTTTTATGACTTGTGGACTTCAAGTCCCAGAATTCCTCAGCCAACATGCCTGGCTGAGGAATTCTGGGAGTTGAAGTCCACAAGTCATAAAAGGGCCAAGTTTTAAGACCCCTGCCATAAGATGTTCTCCAGGCATTTGTGACTACAACTTCCAAAATTCCCTGACTGAAGGAATAATACTGGAAGTCAGTGTCACTCTACATGCCATACTGAAGCATGAAGCAGAAGATTGAGCACACATTATACTGCCCCATAACTTGGGTTCCTTGGTTCAAATTTGGAGCAGCATATGATGGAACTTTAATCTGATCTAAAAGGCCTCTGCATATTCTTAGGAGGGACCAGGTCTTTTTATTAACAAGTAAGTAGGATAAACTAAACTGAGCCTGCTTGTTCAACAGCCTGTATATACATTCTTATATGCATGTATAAGAAAGAGTTATATTGTTTCATGTTTGGGTTTTTGACCTCCCACTGGAATCAAGGGTTGAGCTAGATGGGCTTACCTTGCTCTGATCTATCATGGCTCTTCTTACACTCAGATACATCCTTATGGAAGTCGAGTCCATCCACAGCCATTAGCCAACAGGCTTTTAAAAGGAAAAGGAGAGGACCACTTACCATGAAAGCTAAAGGTGGATTCAGCCTCAAATGCTGAACATTGTTTTAAAAAAAACATCCTGGATAATAGGTGCAACTGAGAAAAAAAGCAAGAAGCCCTGTTGACTGAAACCAAGATAAGTCCATCCTGTTCAGCATCCTGCTTCCCACCATGGTCATACAAATGCCCTAAAAGCAGGCATGTCAAACTTGCAATGTCACGTGACATCGCGTGATGTATCGCAACTTTTTCCCTATTGCCGGCACGGGTGCGGTTTCGGCGTGATGCATCTGGCCTGTGGGCTGGCAGTTTAACATGCCTGCCCTAAAGGAAGTCCACAAAATAGACCAGAAGGCAACCCTTATCCTCCATTATTTTATCCCCTCAGGAGCAAACCAGAGGTTACTACCTCTGAAAACTACAATGCAAATGACAAGCAAAGCTGAATGGTTGTGTTCATGGGTAAAAGGGAGAAATAATACACGAAAAGCATTGAAACATCAAACAAGATGGTATTTAGGTAGCCATGTAATTCAAGCCCCTTCTCAATACTTTCAGTGAAAGTTGGACCGTGCTTCCGTAGCCCATGAGTTTCACTGCTACAGAGTTTTATTATTTATAGGTTCTTGGTAAAAATATGCTTCTAATTTCAACCTGCTTATCTCAATCCTGCTCTCTGGAATGACAATCCAAGTCTTTCATAACACTTGATTTCCAAACCCTTCACTATCTTGATTACCTTTAATTCCATCTATGGTTTTCTTAAAAGATAGAATTCCACATGAATCTTAACACAGAAATAAAATGAAATTATTGACTATGGTCCAATCAACTCACCTTAGCTAAAATAATTACATGCTCCAATGACCCATTTTCCAAACTTCTCATCAGTTTTCCTATTTTTAAACAGTAACACTTTTGGGATAAAAGCTACTATACCTGCTTTTTGCAAAGTGACATGCACAATGACATTCCAGAGAAGAATTGTGTTAGCCTTCTGCAACCAACAAAGCATCTCACGCTTCTTAAAGTATCAGATTAATTATATACTTTCATGATGAAGCAGGCAATACACACAACAACCCTGAATATACATAGATGATATAGTATGTAAGAATATCATTACACTTTTTATTCATCCTGCCTAAGACTACATTTAATTAGCAGGGCATTAGATTATTGGGTTGTGTTCAATTTGTGATACATTTAAGACACATCACATTTTCCTATGTGCAGTACTATGGCTATATATGTAAAAAGGTTGTCTTAGTTGCCCCACCTTTCGTTATGCTCTAGGATTTTTTCTTTCCTTTTGATACTGATGAATTTCTTAGCGGGAAGCTGGACGTGAGGGGATTTCTCTCCTGCAGCAGCCCTCGCAGCAATTTGGTTCTGAGAGATACCATTTTTTATGAAATAAATGTCAACAGATGAGTCTCGGAGAATCCTAAACGAACCTGCCCACAATGCCCTCCATAGGCAGCGGCAGCTCGAGCCAAGTATCTGGAGGCCTACAGACTCACCACTTCTGTTTTAACAGTGTATCAAAAGTGAAACCAGTCTCCCCCAGCCTGGCATGTTTCACATGTGCTGGATTCAAAGGCCCATCATTCCCACCGAGCAACAGGAACAGGTGAGAGGAAGTGCAGACTACTAGGGAAAAATCTGGAAAGGCACCGACACCCACCTCCCACTTTCAGTGGATCCTCCACGTATACGGCTAGTCTACCTTGGGTTACCAAGTGAGGAAATTAAAGCGGAATGAAAATCAAAAGGAGTATATCACCCTTCGGCGACTTGACACTCTCCATATCTTTCAAAACTACAGTTCCCATCACTCTCAGCCATCAGGCTAACGGCCATGCTGGATGGGGACGGTGGGAATTGCAGTCCAAGCTCATCAGGAGAACGTCAAGCTGAAGACGAATCAGCTCCGGTATTACTATCACCACCGACCCTTCCTTTCCCCTCCTCACCGGTAAGCGCGGCGCGATCTCGGCCGAACAGCAGTGGCAAAAATACCGTCCCGGCTGCGGGGAGGCCTCCGCCATCTTGCTTCCTCCTTTTCCTCTTTCCTCCCCCCCCTTACAGGGAGTAAGACCGCCACACGCTGCGTCAAATTACGTCAAGACGCTTGGTAACGCAAATGTCCTACGGCGACCGTGCGGGTTCAAGAAGGCTCACCTCTAAGCAAAAGAGGGGCGGGAAGTCAGAGACCATGGCTTTTAGGTTTCTAGTCCTAGACCGGCACTTTCCGCCGGAAGAAAGCTGAGAGGAGGCGGACTTGGGAGAGGACGTCCAGCGGGCGTGCCAAGATGCTGACCTACAGACCGCCGGGCAACGGGAGAGCGTGCGATTGTAATCCGGGTCCTTGCTTTTAAAGCCACGTGACTTCTTCCTTCTTTTCTGGGTCTGCGTTCTCACGACCTGCGGAGTTAAAATGCGTTAGGTAGCAGGCAGGTTGCCGATTTACGGTGTAAGACGAGTCCGGTTTTTTTCTTCCTCTCTGGACTTTTTACAGCCCCCCCCCCACACACGGAAGGGAGTCTGCGGGCTGATACAAAACTTCGTTAAGCTTTTCTCTCTTTTTTTTTTTAGCCACTGAATAGGGTTTTTGCAGAACACTCTTTATCTTTAATTGACTTGGTTTAACGGGGTGCAGGTTTAATCTGCGTCTCTACTGAAGTGCAAGACAGAAAAAAAGACTCGTATAAAGAAATGTCATTAGTTGAAACTGAGTTTGTTGACGTCATTTAAACAACCACTAGGGGACGCTTTCTTTCTACCGATGTATATTTGTATTCTGCATAACTTAATACCATGTTTTTCCATAATGTAACAATATACCAGAATAGTTAGCCATTGATGCACATATGTGCAGCCAGTATTACCATAGAACTTTTCTCCACGTATCTCAGACTGCTTAGCTTTCATTGCCTGAGGATCGTGTTGTCTCAAGGGGAGAAAATCTCAATTTCTGCTTTTATAGGTAATTTTCATGATCACAGAGTCAGAATTTCGTTGCTAAACGAGGCAGTTAAATGATTCAATCCTGATTTTATGACTTTTGCCAAAGTTAAAACAAATCACTGTAGGTGTTAAGGGAATCGTGCTGTCTTTAAATGAATTCAGCTTCCTCAGTCTATTGACTTTGTCTGAAGCTGCCTGGGAAGGTAGCAAATGGCAATTGCATGACCCCAGGAGACTGAAACAGTTGAAAATTTTGATCATGTGACTATGGGAATGAGCATTGTGAAGACTGGTTATTGGTCACTTTTTTCAATGCTGTTATAACTTCAGTCGCTAAACAATGGCTGTAAGTCAAGGATTACCGTGACTGCCTATTTTTATTTCAAAGGAATATGGAGGGTATTCTTCTGGGACATTTACGATGCTGCCAGATAAAGCAGTCGATGGCTAGCCAAGTTATTTCAATTTTATGGCATGGTTTGTTGTGCAGTGACAATCTATTGTGGTTTCATCAGCAAACAATGGCCGAATACAGTGCCTACCACCCAGCCAATACTGACAAGTCATTTGTATCTGATTCTAGGCTTTCCTATCCTGTTTCTAAATTACCTCAATAAATTTAACACAGTTTCTGAATCTGGGAGATACTTGATCATGACTACTGATGCATTTCTCTCACAATCTAGGCTGCTCCTATATATGTATTTTGTGTCTTTTGGTCAGTCTTGACTCCTGACAACTACACAAACAATGTGGAGTGCTGGGGGCTTTTTTTCTCCTTTTGACAGTATCTTTTAGAAGTGGCTTGCCACTGGCTCCTTCCTAGGAAAAAGAGGGGGTCCAAAGTCACCCAACTGGCTTCTGTGCCTAAAGCAACATTAGAACTCACATTCTCCTGGCTTCAAGCCCCCAATGCCTTTAATCATTTCGCCAAACTGGTTCTCATTTTTACAGTATCCTACAACACAAAAGTTATAGTAAGTGGTTTTGAATTGTGGTAGCTAAATAATGAGATTCACACAAAAGGCTTAGACTGGGGGGAGGGGAAGCAATCTGTTATGGCAGCTAGAGTTTCTTGTTGCTAAATTTGTATTCTGCTGTTCTGTAAAAATAACATGCCGAGCAACTAATGCTATTGTGGATAAAAACAGGATTAGAATGAAAACATTAATAACAATTAAAAATAATCAGTGAAGCAGCTTTACTGTAACTCGCCAATTAAAATCTATTTCAGTAATATCCTAAAGCCTATGCGCCTGCCTGAATAAAAACATGTTTACCTGTCAGTGGAAGGACAAACAAAGCTAGCCTTCTGTGGGTTAACCCAGAGGTAAGAGGCAGTGTAGATAATAGACTGCATACTGATGAAAAAGTGAATTGCAGGAGTTTAGGTAGGATCTGCAAAAGCATAGCAAGATTTTAGATGGAAAGAAGAAACTATCTAGACTCGTTGGATGGATTCATCCATTACATTAAATTAGAATGGTGGTGTTATGTGAAACCAATTAACTGTACATAACCACTATGACTGTATTGTGGTTCCCCAATCTTATGACTTGGTTAATGAACCATGGTTAAAACACAGGACAGTATGGATATTACTCAATGATATGTCATCTCTTAAAGAGTACCAGTCGAACGGGCAAATGAACAGCTTTATTAAGATGGAAAATTTTTTGGAAATGTCTTGTGCAGGTCCCATATAGTCTCCCTTTAGTTTTATTTTTAAAGAAAAGTACCTTAATATTTATCTGAATTACCCACCCTCTCCCCGCCCCCAACTTGTTATTTTTCAGAAAAGTCAGTTATTAACATGATCAAAACAAAGGTAGACCTAAGAAAATCCAAAATCCATGGTTAGACGATATTTTACACAAAGAAGGGTGTGGAACCATCTGAAAAGTTTCCAGAATTTTTCCTCAGGCTAAGTAGAAAAACACTAAAAGTTGCTTAAGCCAGGGGTCCCCGGGCCGTGGCCCACTACTGGGCTACGGCTTGTTTGGAACCGGGCCACAGAAGCGGCGGGTGAGTACACGCAGCTCCACCTGCGTGAGCAGCTCACACACATAGCTCCATTAGAGCTGCACCCACATGCGTGCTCACCCGCCTCTCCCACGTAATCATTTTCCCTCCCCCCACCCCGTCCACAAAGCTGGAAAGGCTGGGGATTGGTGGCTTAAGCTGAAATATGTCTGCTTCAAGACTGCCTCTACCAGCCTTCATTCATGCCGATTTCTAGATAATCCGTATTTTCAATTTTTTTTTACACAGCATGATACAGTGCTGTTCTCACTATAGAAAACTACAATGTGTATTTCTATTTCTCACATAACAGAGGCCATTACCAAACCTGTTCCCTTTGCTAATTAAATTTTTCTTACTATGGATAATATTGAGGATGTCTATAGTCATTTCAGTGTATGTCCCACATTATTTTGCAGAGGGATCTGAATCTTAAGTGCTTTATTATTTTATATATTCAAAATAATTTGAGTAATAGTGATTCAAATTTGGAGTTTGAATATCAGAACCTTCCAATAAATTTGGCAACCCATGAGGTGAACAGCCTTTTTGCCTGTGAATCAATGAATATTGCTAAACCAAGGTTGAAAGATATAACTCAGCTTTCTGCTTCTACCTTGCAGCCTTTTCAACAGTCCAAAAAGGTAAGTCAGTATTATTATCCCTGTATGGCAGATGGGAGGGCTTAAGAACATAAGAAGGTACATTATGACAGGCCAGATTATTTATCCATTTAGCATCCTGTGAGCAAAAGTACCGTAATTCTTTAGTTCACCCATCCCTGATTGAATTTTTGTCATGTAAAAAAATCAGAGGCTGCCATTCTTTTTAAAGAAAGAGAATGAAGAAAAGCAGATGAATATTACCTTTATCCTCATTTCAATTTAGGCACCATATTCACATGTTCACACAGATGTGCACACCCACCCACCCACCCACACACATATGGATGGCATACACCTTTGAAAGTATCTTTTTCTTCTTTTTTAATATTTCTTAAACTTTACAAGGTTACAATCATCTTAAATATTTCTGAAGTTTAAATACAATCTGTAATAATGTTATAAAATGTAAACTTTTCAGTGTTTTTATTTCTTTATTAAGTCACAAAGGTTAATACCTGAATGTTTTGCGAAAAAAGTGATTTAAAAAACAAACAAAAGCAAAAACAAACAAAAACAAAAGTACAGAGGCCAGGAGACAAAAGGCAGCCCCAGGCCTACTGTTTTCAGAGGTAGAATGTGGTTTCTTTTACGATTTTTATTTCTTATTACCTGAGTCAAAAAAACTACATACGCTGTACAGATTGCATATCCTTGCTGTATTCGATTTTTTTCCATTCAAAATCCCCAGAGAAAAACTGGAATTACATCTTATTTTTATGCTGATATGCAAAGGAGAGTGGGGGAGAGTATTATGTTCTCCCCGCCCCCAAATCAAGACCTCCCCCCTCAACACAGTGTTTGTACAAATGCAAGAACAAAACACCCTTTTACTAACTAAAGCCATCCCTTACCCCCTTTCGCAAGAATAAAAATAAGCCAATAAACTCCCCCCAAGACAAAACTTGATTGTGGGTTGAGCAAGCTGGAGAGCTTGAGGTCTGTAAAAAAAAAAAAAAAAGGTGGTGGATTTAAAATGCTAAATGTGTTATAATGTGTGCTATTAAATAAGAGTAGAACAGGAGGGATTATTACCCAAAGAGACTGAGTGACCTTGCATCACCACTTTTAACTCAAGTCTCCTCCTTTTTACTCTTGCCTTGGAAGGCCTCTGCCTCCAGAGAAACATACAAAGCAGAAATTGAACAATGTTTTTCATGAGTATCCATTTTTCTCTCAACTGCCTGCTTACAACTCCTCCAAGGCGCTAATGCAACTTTTCCAAAATCATTAAAGAATTTGGAATGTTCCTTGAGAATGGGGTATATAATTAAACTCACATAACTGGAAACACCAAAGCCAATGCCGGGGCTGAGCTCTTTTGAAAATTTAAGAACAAGCAGAACGTATTTTTTAAACCCACCACCACCTAAATCACAGCCACAGCAAGCAAATCTGAACATTTTTTTAAC